TAATAAATTCAAAAATATGATTTTTTTAAAATATTAAAATCTTTTAAAAAAATTAAATTAATTTTTTAAATATTGAAAATTTTTTAAAAATTTTGAAATTTGATTTTTTACAAAAAAATCAAATATAATTTTTTTTAAAAAAAGTAAAAAATTATTTTTATTAGTAATTGTATCAACATTATTTATTTAAATTTGTATGAAGATGAGATTTTTATGAAATTATATTAGAGGGATTAAATTTCAAAATTTGTGTGAGTGCATGGAATATTTGCATAAATTAACAATTGATTTTCATCTATTTAAATTATCACATCAGCAAACCATCTCCACATCAGCAAAATCAACATCATTTCAATAATGTCAACACCAACGTCATTAAATCAATAGTCATGTTAGTATTTTTAATGATAAAAATTTAATAGAGTTGTGATTGGACTAAGATTATTAAACTACAATAATATGAAAACTAAATTTGTATGAATTACAGTAGAGAGATTAAATTCAAAATTTTTGCAAAGTATAGAGATCTCTGACATAATTCGGCCATCTTTGACCATTGGAACTAAGCAAATATTTAGATTGAGGGGAAATAATAGAAAAGAAAGAAAACTAAAGGAAAAAAAAAAAAAAAACAAGAAACCTTTCTCTTATTTGGTTTTCATTTTAAATTATATTAAAGGAAAAAGGGTAGAGCACTTCTCTCTTTCTCTCAAAAGCCTTATTTTTAATCACCCCAAATTAGAGGAAAAGCTAAGGAAATGAAAAGAGTAAAAATTTTTAAATATAAAATGGCATTTATACCCTTATTGTTTTCTTCAATTTTCAAAAATGCATTATAAGCTTGACAAGTGATATTAATGTTTACTTTTTTATTAAACCTAAACATGTTCCTTACATATTTTGTTTTCATCAACTTCCTATATTATGGTCTTCAAATTTATTTTTATAAATTTTTTTGTATGTATATTTTTTATTCTTTTTTTTTTTGCATATTTTCTTTTTATTTTATGTAAAACATAAACTTTTAAGTTATTACTAGTTTAGGTAACTTATCATTGTCCATAGAAAAAATAATCATATTATTTATTTTTTTAATTTTTGTTGGATCTTATATCATATTAGAATTTTTTATTATTTCATAAATTTGGGAAAAAAAGAAAAAAATGCACATGAATAAATATACCATTGGAGAAATTATGCCTATATTAATAAAGCTTGCTAAAATTATAAGAAAATGTTAATACGAGTTTATAATTAATTTATTTACTAATACATATTTAGATTCTTGAATTTTCTTGTTGGAATTAATTTTGAAAAAATATAATTATAGAAAAATAATTCCAAACCTACTTTTTTTATGGATTAATAAAAATTCATCTCTTTTATTGAATTTTTTCTTTCTTTTTACTTAAAAAAATTAATTTCTAGATTATTCTCATGATAAATGAAATATTTTAGAGTATAATTGAAAAAATATTATAATTAATCATTTCTTTTTTTTTTTCACTCTTTAACCAAATAATGGTTTTTAGGATTCCTTTTTTTTTCTTTTATTTTACTAATTTAAGCTATTCAAACAAGAGATATATGTATCATTTTCGTTCCACTAAAAACATTTTCTTTCCATTACTTTTTTTTTTCTTTCCTTTATATCTATCCAAACATAGTGTAAGAGTCTAGTATTTTACCACCAGATTACACGGCTATTAACATGGAACATACATTATATTGGGTAAGAAAGAGGGAAAATAAAGGTAATGAAAAAAAAATTGTTCTTATGCTATGAATGATAGAAAATTAAAAAAAAAAAATCCGTATAATTGTAAACAAAATTATTAGTTTAAGTTTAATAAAAAAAAATTTCATTAAATTTGAAAAGAAGGAAATGATGAAAAGAAAATATTTTTTTCTTCCACCATCTTTCTTAATTTAACTAAAAATACTTTATAATCAATGAAATAATTTATTTTCATTGATTATAAAGTATTACTTTCATTGATTATAAAGTATTTTTACTTAAATTATCTTTATTTCTGGAAGAGAAAAATTTTATAAATTAATTATAAATTTTAGACAAATATTCTAAAAATTACTTTAGAATATTTCATAGTTGCTTTGTGCAAATATGCATATGTCTAATGTTTTATGAACTATGAAATTAGAAAGAACAAGATGAATTATAATGTTAAATATATTGGTGATCATAGTTTCTAATTCATAACTATGATTTAATGCATGTTTAAGTTTTTAACTAGAAGATATACATGCATTGTTACGTTATAGATATATGAAAATTACATTGTGGTATTTATTTCTATATGGTAAGTTTTTTCATGAGTAAAAGTATAAGCTTTATATTGTAATGTGTATTGCTTCATGAGATTTATTATTTTATGGTCAAAGCATATGCTTATTTATATGAAATTATGTTACTAACTTTTTTTTATTTTTTGAAAATATCTTGAGTTAAATATTGGTAAAGATTTCAAGGTTCAAGGAAAAGTCCATACTCTGTGTGATTACAATGAACACTTTACTAAAATGTATCATTATAACTATGGCAAATTTGGAAACAAATTAATATGGTGACAAGTGAAATGACATGTTTATCATGTTCACCTTGTCAAACAGAGAACTGAACATTGGTGAATGATGTAATTCAAGAGTAGCATGTCATGTGTAACTTATTCAAGTGTGCCTTTGATGAAATCTTCCTTCTAACTTGTTGAGACTCAAGTGTGAGTGTGTTTAAAAATTTCTAAATTCAAACAAAATGGTGCTTGATAAATTTAAAGGAAGATAGTATATAATCAATGGTTATAACACCAACGGAAATATAAACTACTTGAAATCTATTCTTTTGGTTCAATATCTTTTCTATTGGAGTAATTTTTTTCTAATTTACAATCTTGGATATGGAAGAATAAAGATGCTATCTTTCATAATGGTATGGATGAGAACTTTCATTCATCAAGTGGAAAGGAAAGTGCTTTAAATAAATGACCAGGTAAGACATAAGAAGGGCAAAAATCAAAGTCTTCTTATTGAAAGGTATACTAATTTTTTAGAAGATAAATTACAAATCTATCATTTGTAAAAATTAATAAGGCTGAAATGGAATTTGGATAAAATAATTTCCAAATTTACAAGAGATTGATTATTTATCTTAAATAATGAATTCACTTTAAATGATGGAGTATAAATTATGATTCATAAGAGATCAAAAGATTATTATGAGAAACAATTTTGTGAGGTATTATCATGCATAAAATCTGAGCTCATGATAATGTCTCATGCAACCAAGGACTTTGATTTTAAAAGGTTTCTTGAAAAGTATAGTTTTTATTAAGAGAACAAAAGAACCAATCACTTATATAACAATAACAAATAGAAACAATAATATGTTATAAGGAGGGTAAGAAGCTTCATATTATTGGATCCAAAAACTAATCCTTTTATGGGTGATAAAGTACCATGAGAGGTATGGGATTGTTACCGATTATTAAGAGGCAATCTTGATTGATTCCCATTCTATCTTAGTGTTGCCACTGAGGAAATTGATCCTTTCAAAGTAAAGGATAATCAATCATAAAGAAAACGATGCATACAAGAGTTAAGAGCTTTCAACCTTGAATTATCCAAAGAATTCATATGTGAGATATTTTGAATTCCTGATGCATCACTTTTGGAATATTAGGGTTAAATTTTAAAAACTATTTCATTGTAAAGTCCCATTTCTAGATGCATTGATAATCCCAACAATATGGTTGGACATAATTCATTAATTGACTTATAGCTGTTTTAAGTAGAGTGCAAAGTAAAAAAAGAGTTTGTGGAACATTCTAGATAAGTCTTTTTATGTGAGTATAGAAGTGAGAGATTGCTTCTTATGAATTTTCGGTTTATTGTAGAATATTTGCTAACACAAGATCTATCATTCATGTATGTATTAAATTATGTTACCCTTGGAGAAACATACAAACCAATTTAAGAGGTGAATACATTTTCTTGTGTCTCATATCCAATCTAAAGGTTCAAGCCTTGACCACCTTTAGACATATACCTTGCATAAGAACCCAATTACATTTTCTTTAGATTTGCATACATGTGAATTCTTTGGTAATAAATGGAGAATTGTTGTATATATTGTCAAAGATATGTTTTTTAAAGATTATTAAAATGAAAACATTATTTTACAATCATTTAGTATGCATGTGTATTGAAAAATGATGTTTTGAGAGTATGGAAAATCATTGGCATAAAATAAAGATGGAGCAGCTGACTGCCCTATCAACTACAATACATGAGCAGTTGATTGCCCTAACAACCACCCCTGAGCAGTTGGTTTAAAGCCATATTTTGAGATTTGTATATACTTCTTAAGCACCGAATTTTCATAAAACCTTACATCTTTTCATTCTTTAAAGATCAAAAATAGAATTTTCTTCCTAAACTCTTTTTTTTGGTTCATGATTCAAGTGTGCTCAAGAACATTAAGTGCAATTGTTCTCTCATTCATTTAGACTTTGTATCTTGGGAACAATGTTCGTAATAACCATTTGCGGCTTGTGAGGAAACTTTTGTCCTTAAAAAAAGCTTTTTTGCAGTGCTTTACCCAAATTCTTTCTTCAAAATTTTCAACAAAGTTAGCATTGGTTGTCACCCCATACACACAACTTAAGGATCATACAAAGATTGCACTAGTTTGTCAACGCCATTAACAACTTAGCTTCTATATGCCAAGATTTCCTCCCTTAGTGCCCCACATAATTACCAGTGGAAATAGATATTTTCTTGAACTCTGTTTTCTACATTAAAATGAAAATGAGATCAACATGGCAGGCTATGTCGCCTCAATTAACAAATGTAACAAACAACAATATGGCTCCTGGAAAGCTTTTGGACATGACGTATCTTTATTTGTATAAAACCAAAGTCAAAAAAAAAAAAAAAACCAATTCCCTTTCCAGCTATAGAATAAGATGACGCTGCCATCACTAACGCCAAGGTTACTTTTCGTTGGCTTTTAGCATGCTCAAACCATGCTTCTAAACGAGGGTTATTTTTTTACATATAAATACATCACGGTTGGGTTCTTCTTTATGTCAGGACTAAGAAATTCAAGAAAAATCATCTCCATTCTTTCAATCTGAAACCTGATGCCACGAATAGAGCATGATACAGAGATTCCTATTCGTATTATCCACGACATAGATGGCAAAGAGACTAAGTCAGAGAGATCAGAAGGAATAATGCCAAGAAAACCTATCGAGGGTCAACAGAAGGATCATATAAACAAAATGACAGATGCTTTCATCAGCAACTTCCGCAATCACCTTACGTACATGGCGGCTATCTCCATGCTATTTATCACAACCATCTACAAATTATCATGGTTGACAAGATATAATTCACAGCCACCAAGATGGAAGGTCCAACTATACATTAACTCATCTCAGATAAACCATGTATATCTCAAAGCATCTCAAAGATTACATACTGCAAAGGATAAGATCTCACAATAAGACCATCCTATGCCCAAATGACAAGATTTACAAGTACCTGCTCTATTCATAAATGTAAAGAAATAACCTCATAATTATATTGCCGAGATCAACAGTGAACCACCTCACCCGCAAATGCACCATGGGATATCATCCAAGCTGTTATTCAGTAACTCGAAAAACCCTTGGTTATCTGCTTCATCTCACTTCTCCAAGTCAAACACAAGAGGAACATTCTTAATGTGGACATCAATCCCCTCCCCTTGTGGGTCACCGTTGATATCAATCTCCATAGCGAGAATAAACATCAGAAAAGGTAACAGAGTATATTCAGCTTTTCTATTCAGGAGGTGCTGCGCCCCAAAATGTTGGTGAACAAATAAACATTGGAAATCTGACTACCATGGCATGACAATTCTTAAAAAATGCACAAATTTTTACACATAGATAAGTAAATTTTAATTCTAGCTCTCATGCTTGAAGCACCTGACAGTGAACAATATGACTTCTCAAACCACTTCGGCCAGCTATACTTGACCATATATTTGTAAAAAGAGTCCTTAAATGACCTTTGCTAGCAATATTTTCCCAAAGATGAGGGTTGCTCTCAACCTGTTTGTCCGGACTGGAAACATCAACCAGACTTATGCTCATATTATTGCGAATAATACAAAGCTTGCCATTGAGAGGAACAAAAGCAGCAGCCTCCAAAGCTCGAGAACTCCCTAAATGGAGCTTACTATCAATAAATTTGTTCCATGAATCTGTGGCTCCATCATACACCCTAAGCTTGCACCCATCACGACAATCCTGGGCATAGAGCCGTCCATTTAAAGAGATACTAGGGTTCCACCAACCAGAAACCATCCCATCACTGACTGGAGTCCAGGAATTAGTTTCAGGATCATATGCTTCACTCATAACCTCATGATGGGACCCCAGCCCTTTTAGAAACCACTTTCCATCATAAACTACCCCAATGAAAGGTACCATAGCAGTGCTCATATCTTGAATAAAACTCCAGCGGTTCCTGTTTGGATCATAAACTTCAGCAGATCGTAAAGTCCTTTGAGTTCCCTCACATTCCCCGCCAGCCACATAAAGGCAATTGTTTATTACACAGGAACCAAAGAATTGGCGTTTCCGAAGCATATCAGGTGCTCTGTGCCACTTGTTTGTTCGGGCACTATAAAAAATAACACGTCTCATTGACCCCCTCAGTGGATCCTTTCCTCCAAACAAGTACAGGTGGCAACCACTTAAAACAGCACAACCAAAACCAAGGGCCTCAGAATACTCCCTTGGAACTGGAGGAAGTGGTTGCCACAGCTGATGGGTAGGGTCAAATGCATTCCATGAGATCTTTCCATCACGATCTCGCTTGAAGACATAAACCCACTCTTCTGCCGTTCCAAGACTTTTCCTAAGAGTATAAAAGAAGTTCCCAGCCAGAAAGCGAGACCACCTCTTACAAACTAGACGGAGTTTTTGGTGTTCAGCACGAGGAACTCGAATCAGACATGCAATGGCAAGATCATCAGGAAGGCCAGGGAGGAGAGGTGGCTGGACTCGAGTCCTCTCCTTGCGCAAGTTTTTACTCTTGTGTGCATTGGGATTGATATCAGGCTGGATACAAAGCTTTGATCCTGGGACAAATTTTCGTGCTTCAGCAACTGTTTTTAATCCTGAATCCACTTTACAATAGCAAGATACAGAATCAACCTGCAAGAATATTCCAATTAGGAAGGCACTAAAAAAGATAAACATCAGAATATGAGAAAGACATAGAGCAGAAAAAAAGGAGAAACCACTCATATTAGATTCATCATTGATCATTTATTGTAGCTTTTGCAAAAATTTGTACTTTACTCGCACTTTATGTTCTTACAAACAATATCAAAAAAGGCAGCAACATAAATCCACTGTTATCATTTCCAGATGACAACCAAAGAAAAGTTTTATTAATTTTCTTGAAAAAAATCAGAAGTGAGGGTATAGATCAACTCCTCCTTTGATCATTTGTTTGTTTAGTATAAAAAAACTGCTGGATTTAACATGGCATGTGCCAGATGTCCACATTGTGACATGAGAATTCTACCAAAAGCTTCTGAAACTGGAGCTAAGATATGAGTCCTAAAGGAAATTCTTTTTTGCAATTTCTTGGGCTGTATGGATATTGGAGAGCATACACTTCACCATTTTTTAAGCCAGTGTAGGCATCATCAGATTTAGTTAATAAACACAATATAATAGTTCATCTTCTGACTCCTAGAAACTTTGCATCTCAGATTTTTCAGAAATAACATAGAAGCTACTATATAAAGTATCTTTAAAGTCTACCAAGTAAAAGCATTAAGCACTATTCAAAAAGGGCAAGCAGTCCTTCCATCCCTTCTCCTTTCTCTTAAGAAACAGGTTTGAATTGAGAAAATAGGACATCCAAAAACTCAGGCAGATGAGGAAGAAGAAATTAAAAGTTACACCATAAGATATGGTATCAAAGAACAAGGGGCCTAAATGAAAGTTATAAAATAACCAAAAAAACAATTATGTCCAGCAGTCCTCCAATACGGCATTTATGTATTATTGACCTACTTTGCTGATAAGATCTTCAATTCAACTAAAAAGTAAAATTAAGTACCTATGCTAAGCAAGAGGAGCACAATTTTGAGCCACATGCCAAAGCCAATGAATTTACACGAGGAAGTACACTAGAGTATACAACAATTTATATTCAACCCAAAAATTTAAAAGTTCCTGATATTTAAGAGAATCAACAAATCTAAAAACTTGAAATGATAGAGAATGGAAAAGTAATATACACTAATACAAATCCCTGACTTGACTCGTCACAAGCAAATGAGGCAGGACTTTGCATGTAAGTGACCATCTAAGGGATTTATATTATAAGAGCTGGACAGCCAAAGTTCAGGATTTTGGACACAGAAATACCAGGTCAAATAGACTTTAAATCATACTGGATAACTATTGAACCAAAGAGTGTCAGCTAACAGATTTTGACCCAACAACTCCTTTTGTCTTGTTTTTAGTACATTCTACCCTAACAAAATTATTTTGACCGCTTACACACTAGTTCATTCGTAGGTTCTGTTGCAAACGACCAAACCATTTATCAAGCACAAAGCCACAATCTATTATATGCATGTATGTGCATCTATAGAACACTATGAGGAACCAACAGAAGCTCCTCCATAGTTCTTTCCATATGATGCTAGTAGCCAAATTAGCAAATAATTTAAGGAAGAGCAGAAAAAATAAAGCCAGGCAACAAACAGCAGATCACTATCTATTTTTAATGCTTTATTTTGTTATATGAAAAACAAAAAACTATATTAATATCCAATAAAGTACAACAACAATCTCAAAAAATCAACCAAAAGAAGAAAAGTATATGAACCAATGAATCTAAAACCAAAGCCAGCAAATTTCAAGGCCAAATTTAATTCTTTCAAGCAAAAAAATTAAAAAAAAAATTCATTAAATTTGTCACGAAAAAAAACTCCAAAACTTAGAATGATGGGGAAAGAAATCACCTAAGTTGCAGGAGTTTAAAATGCAGAGTTGAAAAGGCCAAGTTGCAAGTTACAGAAGAAGTAAAAAGAAAAATGATCCCTATTTATATGTTCATGAAAACCCAAATTACCCCCCCCCCCCCCCCCAAAAGAAAAAAAAGAAAGGTAGATTGATTCAAAAGAATTTGATCTGGGAATCAATAGCAAAATTCCCACCTTCAATACACAAAACAACTAAGCATTTTCATAGGAAAAAAACACCCCATAATAAAGCACACTGAGCCCTGTCAAAGGCTTAAAATTTAGAATCCCAATTGCCCAATTAAGTACAATTTTCCATCCAGGTATCTTCAAGTTTTCACGAAAACTAAATCCCAAAAAGGAAACTGGGTATCTTTCAAATCACGTTTCCAACAAATTCATCGACCAAATATCTCTAAAACCTTAAAGATTTCACAAAGAAAAGAAAAAAAGAAAGTGAAAAAGAATGATGTTGTAGCTTACCAACGGAGCATGAACTCTAAACCCTCTGGGAGTATTAGACGAGTGTCGAGAAATGGATTGCTCCATCATTTAAAACCAGAGATTCATAGACAGAATCAAAATCTACTATAATCTAACCCCTTTTTCTCATTTTCTTTTCCTTCTCTTTTAAGAGGCTCAGATCGAGAGCCCAATTCAAGAGATTCAATACTCGGAATCTGATCCTCCAAGCACAAAAATTAAAATTTATGGTCCGCCTTTACTAGCACTGGTACATACCAAAACCAACTTTCTTTTACTTTTTCTTTTCCTTCTGAGAAAATGCCAACAAACAAATTTTTTTTTTCAATATAACTCAGGTCTCAACTGAAGAGCAAGCACACTGGTGGACCCATGGGCTTCACCAACTTCTTTAAATTTGTTTGATTTTTTTAGTTAGTGTCATTTAATTTTGAGTGAATTTTAATGTTAAAGTCTTATTAGAAGACAAACAAGCTTACAACAGTCTGGTCAAACCCCACTTTAATATGGTTAAGAGAGAGAAATGGCAATCATGTGGATGAATTAAATACTTCTTAGATTTTTTGTCTATAGAATTAGGCATATTAAGTAACTCCTACCTTTTCATCTCAAATTGTAAGTCAATATACTTTTATAACAATTAAACACTTCCGTTGCCCATAAATGCCATTCAAATAATTTATCTTAGTTGAATTGTTCCTTTGTTGCTCAAGATGATTTATATATATATATTTTTACAAATAAAACAATAGTTTAAGAATAAAAAATTATATTAAAATTTATTAAATTTAAATTTTAAATTTATTAGATGTCATTTTATAAGATAAACTCTAAATTCATAATTAATCTCATTGGTATTCTTTTTGTCTCAATTAAATTATCACATTTCCATTTTTTTACAAAATTTTTGAACTTTGATTTTTTTATTTTTTATATTTATTATTGATATATTTTAAAAACTTTAAACAAAGTAATTTTTAAATAACTATTCATAAAATTTAATTGATTAAAATATTTAAAATAATAACTATCAAAATTAAAATTTTAACAAAAAAAAAATTAATTATGACTATTTAATTGTGGCAGGAGGAGTATTGATTAATATACGAGGGGCCGCCCGCAGATAGCGCATCAAACACAAATTCAATCTATTAACAAATTTGGTCCAAATTTGGGTGATTCAATTGTTATTGTAGAAGTCATAAAAAAGAATAAATGAAAATTGGACCTCACGTGGAAATAAATAGCAATCTAACGAATACGGTGTATGTTTTATATTTTATATTTTTGAATTAAAATTATTAAAAATTAAAAATATTATATCCAAAAATAAAAAATATATATATAAAACTTGAATTCTGAATCTTTCTTTATATATAATTTAACATACATGTATTTATATATATAATTGGACTTACATTAGTTATATGTATAGAACATAAAATTTGGTTTATATTATTTATGTGTAGAATATATATATATATATATATAGTATAAAAAATTATGAAAAGGGTGAATTAGTTTTACACCATTGGATTTCATTTTGGGAGAGCGAAATTATATTCTTTGACTTGTTTAAAGCAAAGTTAAAAATAGACACATAAAAGAATCGTAGGAACTTTAGGGGAGTGACGCTGTCCCACTCCTTCTATCCCCTTGCTAGCGGCTTAGAATATGAAACTCTAATTTGAAGTTTCCATTCAAATATTAATACGACAAAATTGACATTTATAAACGGCAGAAATATTATATTCTATTGCATAACCAAAATAATATAGGAAAAAAAAAAAGATTACGACACAACAAGACTATAAAAAGGAATACCAAGAAATTATTTACAAGGCCTGCTATTCGATCAAATATACAAATGGCATTGCCCTATTGTGATGGAGATTAATAAAAAATATATATATATATATTTAAACCATTACATAAATAAAAGGAATAGCAAGTAGTTATGAGCTGAACTGATTAGTTAACTCTTTTAAAGATTTAATCCAGATCCGATCCTCATATTATTTTAAATTTATTATATTAATATTTTATAAATGTATTTATAATTAAATTTAAATAAAATAATTCATTTACTATTAAATACTTTCACCTGTTAAATTGAATGGGACTGGAGTTTGAAAATTTTTATCCAAAACTTGGCATGAGTGGAAATTAGACTTCCAAGGCTAGGAGGCTTCTCAACCTGTGATAGATTTAGTAATATTACAAGATCATTTGTTCCACAATTTAAGTGTAAATTAGAATCATAACTAATTATCACGTATTGCATACTTGGCTAGAGAATAATTATTACAAAAATTTTATTTTTTATGAATTTTAATAAACGGTAATATCAATATAAATTGTGACAATACTTCTAAAAATAAAATGATAATAAATATAATATTAATTCATTAACAAATAACTCAGGTCAATTAATTTTAACCAAAATCAAATTAATCTTAACATTTTTAAACCTTGAAATTAATATATTAACTAATACTATTCACTTAAATGATAAATAATTTACGAATATATCATAAAATTATATGCTTTTACATCAATGAATAAATATAAAACTTTCAATTTAATAAATATTTTATTCTAATATTTAAATTCTATGTAATGATTCTAGAAAAACCTCTTAAATGAATGTAAATGTAAAAAAAAAAAAAGATTGTGAGCGGCACGAGAATCACCCCATTAAGCTCCACTATGAATTTAGATTTGTTCCAACCTCAAGGCATATCAATTATGGGTGTTCGGTTTATGAAATCGTAGATTTTAGAATAAAGTGTGATCCGCAAAAAAATATAATATTTGTAATTTTTTTTTATTTTCATGACATCTCATATTCAAATTCACTCGTTTGATTAGAAGAAATTCACATATATTAAATTTTAAATAATTATTATAATCTTCTTAATATATATGATGGTAACTTAAATTATCTCATTTTTAATTGAAGAGGATTATTCAAAACATTTTTTTGCCATAAACGCTTTGAATAATCCTTACAAAAAATTGAATAAAGCTATTCAAGGTGTTTGTGGTCAAAAAATGCCTTGAATAATCCTCTCTAATTTTTTAAAGGGGATTATTTAAGGTTTTTTTGTCACAAACACCTTGAATAACCTAACTCAATTTTTGTGAGGGGATTATTGAAGGTATTTTTTGCCACATACGCCTTGAATAATCTCTTTCAATTTTTTAAAAGGGATTATTCAAAGTGTTTTTTGCCAAAAACGCCTTCAATAATCCCTTTTCATTTTTTGGACAAAAAACATCTTGAATAATCCCTTACAAAAAATTGACGCCTTGAATAATCCCCTCTAATTTTTTAGAAAGAATTATTCAAGGTGTTTTTTACCAAAACAGCTTCAATAATCCTCTTTTATTTTTTTTGGCCAAAAACACCTTGAATAATTCCTTACAAAAAATTGAATGGTGTTATTCAAGGTTTTTTTGTTAAAAACACTTTGAATAATCCAAAAAAAAAAAAGTAAAGGACTATTCAAGGAGTTTTTGGCAAAAATCACCTTAAATAATCCCTTACAAAAAATTGAATGGATGTTATTTAAGGCTTTTTTGGCCAAAATCGCCTTGAATAACTATATTTAATTTTTCAAATGGATTATTAAGGCATTTTTCACGTCAAATGCCATATATAAACCAAATTTTTTACCAGCACAAACTTACAACTGACTTGCATTCATTTTTAGACATGTTTTTCAAAATGGTAATGGTTATTTCACAATTTTTTAGTCAGGTCAAATTTGAAAATAACGTATTTCTCCCCTCCCCGGAATCCTAGAATACCATAAAAAGAGGTGGGTTTTTTATTTCGGGACTTTGGTATTGTTGGGAATCTATTAGTTTTTTCTGAAATTAGATTACCTTGAACTAAACGTTGAAATCAAATACCCAATAATAAAATTTTGAGGGAACAATATGTGAATTTTTCTGAACCAAATGCCACCTTAAGGTAATTTTCAAGTCACCACTTGATTTTAAGTAAAAAATCGTGAATCATTTATAGGCACTATGGCAATAAGTCTCATCGTTGCCAAAACACTTAGTTTGGAGATTTGGATATAAAGTATAAAATGAATCAAAGCTTCTGACCTTGTTTGGGATAACAAAACCTCTACTTTAGATAAGACCCTATCAACCATCTAAATTAAAAAATAAATCTCACCACTTATTTAATTTAATGTAACCATGCAATTATTTCATTATAGGTTTAATGATGTCACACACACGTATAAAGAGATTCAAATGGACGTGCAACATTAGATGGTCTACAATTATTAATAATAATGAAAATAATAACAATTAAAACAAACAACTTGAAAAACAAATAAATTGCATATTAAATAAAACATAAAATAAAAGGTAAAAGAAAAAATGCAACATAAGCTATAAGACATATTAAATTACTAAATGTTTATATGGTATATTTAACCAAATGTAATTAAATATAAATAGTATACTTGAAATTAGCCTTAATCATGCTACTATGAGACATACTTGAATAGCATAAATACGTCCATCCATAACATAGCGTAATAAAATAAAGAAAAGTAAACCTAATATAAGATTCTACATGATATATATGATGCAATCCTAAATTAAATCTAGATCGCATGTTATAATTCTTTTTATTTAAGCAAGTCATCATACATAGGCTTACATGATAAATGATTATGGACAGATTGTATCAAGTGATTGTCATGCAAGAGTTGAAATTTACCCAAGTGAACCTGTTTTAGGTTCAAAAATATAGTTTTAAGCTTTTGGGTTGTAGGTTGATTGACTTGAGCGGAGTTTTGACTATATTTAGACAATGTTTAGGTTTCAATTGGATAGAATTTGGGCATTTAGCTATTGTTTGGTTGAATAATCCCAAATAAGGATTGAAATTTATGTTGTACATCAAGTAAAATGTCTATTAGTAGTTACCATTATGATACAATTCTTAAGAAAATAGTAAGCTTAAGTACACTGAAGAACAATGTAAATTTCAGTGATGGAAGACAATGAAAAAAATGTACAAATGGTGAAAAAAGAATTCAAAAATAAGAGAGAAAAAAAAAGACTAGCAAAAATGGTAAGGAAAATTCCAAAATTCATTCATCAATTGCCAAAAATCCCAGACTCCTTGGCATAACAAGCAATTTGTACCCTTCATAACCAACTCACAAAAATAAGAAAATAACTGAAATGCCACTAATGGACTGAGTACGATAACAAACTAATTATTTGCCCAATTTGTTACTGGCCCATAATACTACTAAATATAAAAACATAATTTTAAAAAATGTTAACTTTATTAAGGCATGTACCAATGCTCCATTGCTGAAATAATCCTTGCCCTGAAAGATTAAACTATGGATAGTTTCGCGATAGTTCATAAAGGATCTCCCAAGTCACATTTTCTTGAAAGGAATTACACCAATGAATCAGAAATTCAATTCAGCCATATTTCTTTCCTTTCCCAACCTTTTGTCTATGA